TGAAAAAGATTGGCCACAGAAAGCTATAAAAAGAGACCAATAGAAGGAGGGTAGGGGAGCTTTTACCCTGCACTGAGAGTCCCACTGTGGGACGACTATGGCTAAAAATAAAAATTAAATAAATAAATAAGTTAAAAGCGCAGTAGCAGCGCGACAGTCGTGGTGGGTCGCAAAATGCTGCTCATGAATATGAGCCTCTAGTATGGCTTGAAATTAGTCGAGTTCCTCGTCAAATTATTACGTGAGTAAGCCGAAAACATAATAATTTATTTAGTATGTCTCACGAAAGTTACACTACAGATAAGTTAAAAGTTAAGAATCGTAAACTAAAGCTATTAATTTTGCTCAACTGCTTTATTAAAACCAATATCAAGTACACTGGTCCACTTAAACCGGATATCATCGTAAATAGTATTACTATAACTAGAGTAGTCCATATACCACGTACATACAAGTCGAACCTGTTTCTCATGCGCAGGCGCCGCGGCCTTCGCAAATGAACTTGTGATCGATAAGAGATCGATATTGAACCTATTATTATTTTATAGATGACTTTTTAAGGGGGGAAAATCATGACTTCTGCCCCCTCGAGTGAGGCGGGAGGGGGTATCAGACTCTTACTGACTAAAAACCACCCCATTCCTACTCCTGCACGTCGAGCCCGGTAATCCGTTAAGTTCTACGCGGCTCCGTATCGGCATCAGCCCTATTGGGCCCCATCTGTGGTGGTCTGATGGCTTTTTGAGGCGATAGTGAATATCAAGTGTTAAATCAAACGAACTATAATTTGCAATTATAAGTTTGAAATTACCAACCCGCAGTGAGCAAGCGTGGTGATTAATGCTGCTCAGCAGTGGGCATTTATAAGCTGATGATGATGATGATGATGATGGAACGGTTATGTAATGCACTTACGTTAATTGAAATGTCTTGAACAGGATTCCTGTTTGGATCTTTTTGCCTTTTTATGAAGAATTTACATAATTATCCTTAATATTGCATTAGTTTTGCATAATTTGTAATCTATTAAACCAATAAGGCTAGTGTTTTAAGTACATAATTTATTATTAAAAGATAAAACGAAGTTAAATATTAAATAGGAATAAAAATGGTACCTCTTTGCATAAAAACACGATTCAAAAATAATTAAAACTTATAGTAATGAATAAAAAACAAGTTTTATTTTTTTTAGTGTCTATCTATCTATATTTAATTCAACAATTCAATGGCTGATTCACACTCTAGAATTAATAAAACATTACTCAAAGATTTTAGTAAAGTTCTAATAAAACACTCAACGAAATGCTGTCGTTAAAAGTCAATCACCTTCTTTCAGTGAATGCTGAAATTACAGTAATTTGTTTACAGTCACGAAATACAGTCGTTAGGTTAGGTACAATCGACAAAGTTACCGACGATCAGTTTTATAGGAAAATACGACTTTTATTTTACCTAAATATATCAAAAGTATCAAATAAACCCATTATATATTCATTTTTATATTATATTATATTTTATATTATGTATAATTATTTACATATTATATTTATGTTTCATATTAGTATGTAGTATTGGTATGTAGTTTATGTACTAGGATACCTTTATATGTACGTACATTTATCACCCTCGTTTTTTATTTATTATTTTCAATAGATGCAAACTCCTTTAAAACCTACTGTAACACTTCTCTGCATCACCCTATGGTTGGCTGGTAGAGAATGCCATTCGGCATTAAGTCCACCATTGTATACTGTTGTACATAAAGTGTAAAATAAATAAATAAATTGGGTAGGTATGCTTAAAAAATCTGTATAAATCAAATTGTCATTTCTCAAACACCTATTAAAACTCCAATTAAATTGCTTTCTTCAATAATCCGAATACTATTTCTAAACGTAACAACAATTGCACGCATATAAATTTCCAAACAGGGACACCATTCATTTTGTCAATTGTACTGTATCTAAGCATACCCCGTAGTCAGGCACTGACAACGTAAGTACCTATTTATTTATTATCCGAATGATATGTGTTCAGGTCAACAAACTTAGCATAGCGTATGTACCACGAATTATTCTGTTGCTACCTAGCAACGGCAGTAACTGTTTGCAAGTATCTTTCTGTAGTATTGTGAGGTGTAAGTAGGAAATATTATTTCGATTAGGAACTACCATAGGAGAATTTAAGAATTAGCATGGTCAACAATGCACGAGCGACGACGACGACGAAGTAGGATACGAGAAATTTACGGAGCCGCAAAAGACTTACGGGTTGCCGGGGCTGCGGCTCGAAGTGCAGGAGTAGACACAGGGTCGTTTTTAGTCAGTAAGAGTCTGACCCTCGGATCTCGCCTCACACGGGCGGGTAAAAAAAGGATATGATCAATTTAATCTAAATGGGTACCAGCCTTCTAAGTTACGGGAATATCTACGGAGAAACTACTTAAAATAACAAACGATACCTTTAAGGATTTCCACGTAGACTACCGCACAGCTTCGAGTCTATAAGTAGGCTACTTATAGACTCTCATCTCTATAAAAAGATAACCAATAGAATTATCGAAGTAGACAAATTTTCCTTACTCACAAGCCCGATGAATGACAAAACGGGAATAGTAATAAAAATACATAAATTATGAATGAAAATGAATCATTACACCACGGTCCATATTTTGCCGCTCGTGCCCCCTCCGATACTCAATTGTATGCAAATTGTTTACATTTGTAATAACACTACTAAACGAGGGCTCGCTCGATAATTTTCACATTTACTTGTTAAAAAGGCGTGTGAAAATTGTATAAATTAATTTCTTTTAGTAACTTAGAAGGTTCTAGATTACTTGGTTTCCTTCCTTAGTTTATTTATTAGCTAATTTTCAGTTGTTCGTGTCTACCTACCAATTACTAAGCGTTTTGTAAATATCGTCACTGTAACTGGCAACCAGCCGAGTTTAGAGTTAAGAAAACGCCTGATCTGACTGCCGCATTGACCGCGTGGTCGCAGTTGCGACTGCCAGGCAAGGGGTCTCGGGTTCGGTTCCCGGGTCGGGCAAAGTATTACTGGGTTTTTTAAGAAAAACTCAGTTGTAGCACGGAGTCTGGACTTGTGCCCGGTATATGCTCACCCCCTATTACATGGGACTCTAACATAAATAGTGAAACGTGGGTTTTAGATTGCGCAGTGGCATTAAGTGCCGTAACGTGCACCTCTGCCTTTCCCCTTCGGGGATAAAAGGCGTAATGTCATGTAAAAAGCCTAAACATAAAGTTCTGCGAGCTTGAAGTTTACAACTTCGTCCTGCGTCTGGGTAGCTAAACTAGCTGTATACATACAGGGATTGCAATTAAGATTTAAATTCAAAATCGGTAACTAAATGAGTGCGAAACGATTTAATATATTATCTAAACGTTGATTTCAAATTAAAAGTTTGATGTGTCTACTAATGCCATCTAGTATAATTCCATGTACAACATTCAACTTCAACTACAAACTCTTTACTACGAACTACATTCACACTCTCGCGCGAGTGGACACTATGTTGAGGTACATTGCAGTCTTATAATGCGCGAAAGACTACAACTCTTTTAGAATAACGACAATGTATCTCGGCCTCGTCTCGAGTGTAAATGTAGCATTAAAAAAATCCTTTGCAAACAGTTGACGGCTTTAATACATCAATTTTTTTTTATTAATTCGCCATAAGAAAATTCGGTAAACACGTGTCTTGTAAGGCAGCCTATAAGATATAGATATTATACCTATAGGTCAATAACCTGTTCTCCTTGCAATCCTACTACAAAGTAAATACAATACACGTGGACTAGCCAAAACATGTTGCCAGATGATATTGATTAATGCTAAAGATGGAGACTTGACGTAATTGATATTAATGTATCCCTTGTAATTAGATTGTATTGAAAAATAGATTGGTCATTGATATACTTACCTTTTGACTTAACATAATATAACATCATACCTTTTATCCCCAAAAGGGTAGGCAGAGGTGCATATACATGCATGTACAATATTATTATAACACCTACTTTTCACTTATACCGGGCACAATTCCAGACACCCTGCTACTGAGAACTTTTTAAAACCCAGTAATACGCTCGACCCGAGAATTAAACGTAAACCCGAGACCCCTTGCCTGGCAGTCGCACTTGCGACCACTCGACCAACGAACCAGTCCTTGTGACTTCTATCTAACTGCTTAAAAATGTTATTCATTAAGTACCTACTTCAGATTTACCTACATGGTCAGCCAACAGTCCTGCGTTTTCCTTCGTCCTTTCCTCTCTAACTTTGACAGTAATAAGTAAAAGAAATTACTTCGCTAAAGTAATTATAAGTTCCGTTCCGTTCTTCCGTCCAATCAGAACCGTCCACTTCCAATTATTGGTAACAGGAAGATATTCTGTAGACTGTAATGACGATTTGCAACGTTTTTATGAAGTCAGGAAATTGACAGACGACCTTTTTGCTCAGCGGCTGTTCGACCGTATCATTGTCATAACTAAGAATTTAAAAATACTAAAGAAATATGCATATTATGTGGGTCAGGGCTGTCCAAACTATATACCCTCGCGGGCTAATTAAATTTCTTACAAAAGCTGAAGGGCCAGAAAAATATTTTCAGTTGTATAATGTAATGACATTGTGTTCTTTACTCACAGACTAAACTTGTACACAAATCATACACTGAATTATTGTTGTTGCACATAAGATGAAGATGTTGAGATTAAAATGTGTGTCGCGGGCCACATGAAAACAAGCTGCAGGCCGCATGCGGCCCGCGGGCCTTTTTTTGGACAACCCTGATCTAGTTGCGGAGAACCTAACGGGTAACCGGGGCTCCGGTTCGACGTGCAGGAGAAGGAACGGGGTGGTTTTTAGTCAGTAAGAGTCTGACACTCCCTCCCGCCTCACCCAGGCGGGAGCAGTCATCCGATGATTTTTTTCAAATCTGTGTACTAAATTGGTTATTTGCTTGTTTCCAGATGGACAATCTACTGCGGCCCTGCGCAGATATGGGCATACAGGCGGACCCACTCATAGAATGGAAATACGATGTCGAGAAACAGGTACATAAGTTAAATTTAAATATACTTTTTGTCAATATCTGTCTGTGAATTGTGAACTCAGTGATTGATAAACAAACGACATACATTTTACATTTGAAAATATAAGTAGAAAAAAACTAAAGCATGGCTTCCTCGTGGTTATAATAGGGCATAACTAAAGAAGCATTCTGATTACTTGCATGAATGACCTTGCAAACAAAAGTGAACCACAATAAAAAGTTTCAAATAATTGTTTTTGTAAAGATTTTAAGTGTGGGAGAGCCATGTTTCGGCACGAATGTGCCGGCTCAACCGGAGTGATACCACGGCCTCACAGAAAACCGACGTGAAGCAACGCTTGTGTTGTGTTTCATCGTGTGACTGAGGTTACCGGAGGCCCAATTACCCTCCCCTTCCCCAATCTCCCCAATTCTTGAATCCCCAACGATCCTCAAACTCCTAATCCCCAAAAGGCCGATAACGCACTTGTAACGCCTCTGGTGTTCCAGGTGTCAATGGGCGACGCCGATTGCTTACCATCAGGTGATCCGTCTGCTCGTTTACTGGCTTATGCCATAAAAAAACACACGACTACGTAACGTCTGTAATTTAACTAAAAATAAAATTTATCAATAAAATCGTCTGCTTCAAAGAAATGATAACAAATCAGGATTGTTATAAGGATTAAAAAAACATTATAATTATAACAGACCGATCAATCAATAACGGTATGGTTTTACCTTATTGTGAGTCACATAGATACGATGTTTAGGGGACGTCCATATTACAGACGTCCTTGGAATTGTTTTTGTACTATACGTACTTTTAAACGCCTATTTAATGATAGCGATGACACATTGCTTTTATGTCGTATATTTGTCCTTTGCTGGTAACACAACATAACATATCTATTAAAAAAAACCGTTGCGTAGTTTTAAAGATCTAAGCATACATAGGGACAGACAGACAGCGGATAGCGACTTTGTTTTATACTATGTATACTAAGGTCTTTTTTTTAAGGGGGGAAAATAACCGAATGACTGCTCCCGCCTGGGTGAGGCGGGAGGCAGTGTCAGACTCTTACTGACTAAAAACCACCCCGTTCCTTCTCCTGCACGTCGAGCCGGAGCCCCGGTTACCCGTTAGGTTCTCCGCGACATGTACTAAGTTCTAGCTTCTTCTCCTCAGATCGATCACATAGTCCTCGGCCGTGGTCCGCCAGGTGGGTCGTGGCACACGTTCCCCCCGAGCGTGCGCACTCTGTCCCCGGCCGCGTGGCTGTCCCTGCCGCCGCACGCCCCCACCGGCACGGCGCGACTCTCCGCGCGCGCCGTCGCTAAATATTGTCGCCGATATGTCCACGCTTGTAAACTACAGGTAAATATTCTTTTATACATCATTTTACACTTTTAAATACAATTATTAATCGATAATCTTCAAGTAAATTCTTCAATAATACATATTTTAAGACACATACTTGATTCTTCTTTTTTCATTACACATTTTTTCTTCTCTTCTCTCTGATAAACCTGAACAGCTCTCTAATAAACTAAAACATTGGTATTACCCTTCATTATGGGTCCCTACATGGCTTGAAACTAGTCAAGTTACCCCGTAAAACCAGTTAAGAGAACAACTCAATTAATCTAACACGTTAATGTTTTCAGAAATTCTTCCGTAGCGGCGTGACAGTGACGAGCGTGACTCGTATCCCGCAGTCGGACACGCCGCGCTGTCACAACACACATTGTCCACTCAACGCACAGTTCTGTGTTCAGGGGTAAGCATTATATCTGCAGTATTCATTTAGAATGTTAAAAGACATTATATAGGAGAACTCAATGTCATCACTTAATCAGTCAGTCTGTCAGTCTTGACAATTAGAGTCGACTTTATAAACTGGTATCGCCATATGAGCTGATGAATTTTGGAACGATACACACATACTGCAAGTGTTGTTTCACGTCGGTGTGTCGTGAGGTCATAGTGTTGACACATGAAAGTATGGCTCAATCACGTGAAATAAAATACACACTCCCCTCTTGCATCGACCATTGTTTTTGTCTCTGCTTCACTCAAAGGTCTTACTGGCGAATGCCCATGGCATTAAGCCCACCTTGTACATTAATATGTGTATGAAGCCTGTTAAAATAAAAAAAGAATAAGACATACTAATGAATTACTATGTTTTCGGCTTACGTTGTTTGACGACTCGACTAGCCATGGTAGCAGCGTGACAGTCGCCGCGTCTCGAATCGCGGAATGCTGCCTTTAACATGGCTTGAAACTAGTCGAGTTCCTCGTGAAACAGTTAATTGAGTAAGCCGAAAACATAATAATTAAAATAAACTAGCTTTTGCCTGCGACTTCTTACGTGCAATCCCGTTTCTCCCATTTCCGTATGATTTTCAGGACTTTTTTCTGTCAAGAACTTTCTCCTGACGATAATAAAAACGTCAGCCAACTCGGTCTAGCCGTTCTCAAGTCATGGCGTGACAACGGGAAACGGGTTTTATTTTTATATATATAGAAGATAAGCTTTAACATAACTTCCTTTGATCACCCAGGTTCGACAGCGCGTCGTGCCGTCCGCTCCGCTACGTGTGCGCGCGCGTGGTGGTGGCGGCGGGCGGCGGCGCGCGTCCGCGCACGTTGTCGCGCGCTGTCGCCGCGCACTCGCTGCACGCGCTCGCGACCTTCGAGCGCGCGCTGCACGCACTGCGCAACACTGGTGAGACACGACCATTGCCATTTATAGCTTCTATCTTTTCCCCTTGTTTACTATTTTAATTCGTCACTTACATGTCTCTCGTATCTTTCAATAAGGACCATATCCCATGGATAAACAATCATCCGAATATAATACCTCCTCTTTTTGAACTCGGTAGAAATAACAAATATCAAAACCGATTGAGTCGTATCGTACCGTTGCCACCGGTACGATAGTAACGACAGTTATTCCAAACTCTTATACTTGAATGTTGTCTTAGTAGGTTCTCAGGGACGTAAAAATAAAGTTCGACACACGAATGACTGTAAAACTATATATATTGGAGTAAACGTTAAATTAAATATAAACAAAGTTGCATAATATTACAATGGAATAAAACTCAAACGTCACGGCTCCGGCACGAACTCGTTGTTCTGTTCCGTGACGCTCCTACGCAAGCGTCGAGCGGTCAGTGGCGGGGAAGCGGGGGAAGAGGAATAGTGAGATAGCGTGTTGTCACTAAAATGGCGCGCGTGCGTCCGACACAAACCAAAATCGAATTGCCGCGTTACAACTCTTTTTTACCAAGCTGTACTCTTTCTTTGTCATGTTTCATTCTACTCACGTCTACTAATTGATACCTAATAGTCCTAATACCATTTAATTATTTGTCCATTGCAGCAGTAGACGGCGCCCCCCCGCGCGTGCTGGTGGTGGGGTCTGGTGTGAGCGCGGCGGACGGCGTGTGGCTCGCGCAGCAGGGCGGCCTGCACGCCGCGCACCTGCACCGCGCGCCCGCTGACGCACTCGCACGACTCGACCCCAGCGCGTACCCGGACTACTGCCAGGTTACTACGATTTTTGTATTGTATAGACCGACAAAAGAACATAGATGGCCTGATGGTAAGCAATCTGTATCGCCCGTGAATACTCATAACCCCACATGTATTCCCAGTGTATGTATTAAGGGCTATATTTCACCGATTTAGCCGGCTCATTCATGCCGAAAGATCTTTCCCAAGTGTGAAATAACCTAATGATGATACTCATAGAGTTAAAAATATTTCAAATTTAATTAACGTTTTAAATAAGCCTATTCTCGTTTCTGTTCACCCCGTGACGTCACATGGCTTCTAATAATTAGACTTTGTCATCTATTCCAGGTATACAGAATGATGTGCGACGGTCCGTCAGGCAACCACAAGAACTACACTCCGTACCCGCACCACACCATCGTCGACGTCACGCCCCTCGACACGCGACACACTGACGACATCGACGACTACGCCCTCTGTCCCAAGCGGGTCAAACTACTCGACCTCAACACTAACGAGATCACAGAAATACAAGTCTATGTCATTGGCGTCTTCATCGGCTCCAAACCGGACCTATTCTTCTTACAAACGAACTACCTCGACTGCATCGACATCAAGATAGACTGCACCAAATGTATCGACGAATCCAAACCCACCAACCGCAAGATAGAAGAGAAACAATGCTTCCTCAAAAACCACTGGCATTACCTCAAATCTATGCTCGGACAGAGCATCCAGAGCTGCAAGTCCAGATACTTAAATTATTCCGAAATAAATGGCAACTCTGACACAAAGTGCGTTATACCGGACTGTAACAAGCGAACTGTCGATATCAATGAGAAAAATAATGTCATGGACAAATGTGAAATCATTCCATATTCAGACGACGACAAGGTGCAATGTACCTGCGAGACTGTCAATCCTTACTCTTCGGGGCTAGGCTTCGGTTTGGATCCGAAGAAGCCAGTGGACGGAAGGAGTAACCCTATAGCTGTAGACAAGTCTTCTCACGAGATACTGAACGGGCCGGAGGGCATGTACGCGCTGGGTCCGCTGACTGCGGACAACTTTGTGCGCTTCATCCCCGGCGGAGCGCTCGCCCTCGTCACACACATGCACCAGAACAAACACTGACTTGCCATAACCATTAATGTGATTGTAATATTTAATTCGTTTTTTCTTTACAATAAATTATTTTTTATACCCAGCATTTTGTCGTTTTTGTTACCTGTAGAAAATAGTTTGATAAATGTAGTAGCAAAATGTTTATCATAGTCGCTCATGGACACCCTAAAAACCATAGGCGTTACAAGTGCGTTACCGGCCTTTTGGGAATTACGAGTTTGAGGATTGTGGGGGATTCGAGGACTGGGGAAGGGGGTAATTGGGCGTCCGGTAACCTCACTCACACGACGAACACACAACGCAAGCGTTGTTTCACGACTGTTTCCTGTGAGGCCGTGGTATCACTCCGATCGAGCCGGCCCATTTGTGCCGAAGCAGGGCTCTCCCACACTTAAAAATACACTTTGGAACGAGTACAGCCTAGCTTCACCGACGGACAGGCTGTCACAAAATTCAATTGACGGGCAAAGTAATACTGGGTTTAAAAAATCCCATTAGTAGCATGGAGTCTAAAATTGTGCCCGGTATATGGCAATCATTTTTTTCTTCTCTTATAATATCTTCTGATTCACTTCGTTGTGGGAACGAAGACAGTTACTCATGTCCCTGGGACGCGCCGGACTTCAGTGTTCCGGTATTTTCAAGGTTGTGTACTGTAGATCCTGGCTTACAGGAGTTGCAGCGGTTTTGTGAGGTTGTGGCGGGTTTGTCCCAATAAAAACAAAAATATAAATAGTGAATAGTGGGTGTTACATTGTACAGTGGCATTAAGTGCTGTAACGTGCACCTCTGCTTTCCCTAACGGGGGATAAATGGCGTCATGTTATGATTGTAAATTATGACGATTTTTTGCTGTGTAAGCATTGTGTTCATTCTGAAATACTGGTGATAGGATACTTTTATCCCGATTAAATGCTCCCATAAAACAGGATCCATATTCTATGCGAACGAAGTCGCAGGCGACAGCGTCTAGTAAAAAATAACAAATAAAGTAAAAACCACACAAACAAGGTATAAAGCCAAACACACACATATGAAAAAAGTTTAAACTGGGCCGAACATAGATATAATAAAGAAGGGGATATAGTGTGGAGTCAAAAATGTATGCAAAACTGGTGAAGCCACAACTGCCCCTCCATAGGTAAAACTAATATATTACACACACAGTTCTGACAAAACAATACTACGAATAAGTGAGAGATAACTCAGTAATTCAAATCTTATTCTTTAAACGACAGAGCACATTCTCCTATGATTTACTTACGCTAAAACAATTTGTCAAGTAGGTACGTGTTAGGGGCGGGATCTACCGTCGCCGTAGTGACTTGACTAATTGTAGAAAATTGTGAGTAGTTTAATTTTGTACATCACTTTTTGGCCGCCATTAAATTGCCAATTTTCAAAACTCCCAGAAAACATTCCAGGTAGAACGAACTACCAAATTACTGACCAATTCTTTTAAGGTTAAAAATAATAGAAACAGCTAATTTAGATTGTTTCTTTATTTAAAATATAAATATGCATACTTGGATTAGGTATATACTTACAGTTGACATTAAAATTTTAATATGATACATATTAAAACTTGTTTTGAAACATCTTTGGGTGCATTTGTATATATATAAAACTTAACAATAATTTTAACAAATAGTATGGCTAACTTATACAAAAAAGTCTTTATTGTTACCTGTTAATTGTTAGGAACTATAATATAAACGTCATCTGAATTTATTTTTTTCTTTAATTCTTCAATTATATCCGAAAATTGTGCGACCTTTTTTTTTAATCTTCTACTTTGTTGTTGTAGTGTTTTAATTTTTTTATTTTTAATAATTAATTTTTTTTTTAATCTTTGCATTGAAGTGCAAACATGTTTGGCTGGCAGTATAGGATGTGTTCTATGCAGTATTGGATCTGTTATAGGCTGTATTGGATATGTTGTAGGCAGTATTGGATCTGTTGTAGGTAGTATTGAATATGTTTTAAGCACTATTGGATGTGTTGAAGGCAGTATTGTTTCTATTTTAGGTAGTATTGGTTCTGTTGAAGGCTGTATTGGATCTGTTGTAGGCGATATTGGTTCTGTTTTAGGCAGTATTGGATCTGTTGTAGGCTGTATTGGATCTGTTTTAGGCAGTATTGGTTCTGTTTTCGGTATAACTGGAGGCAGTGTAGTAGTATCATTTGTAGGACCCAGGAAATTTTCTTTTTCCTGAAATTAAAATATTTTATGAAACGTCAATAATTAAAGTCGGCTAAAAAGAACAAGTTTTGAGTAGTTTCTTGTGTTTTAACTAATTTTTTTGCTACCTTACATATATATTAGACAAATTAACTCAAACTTAAAATCAAAGTCTTTATTTGCATGTTAAGGTCTTATGTAATAACAGGCACAGCTTAACAGTCTTTTTCAGGTGTTTCAAATTTTAGGGCTGTCGCTTAACCAGAAAGTTCAACTTACAAATTGTTCTATATATAACTGGGATGAATTGAATATTACGTCCGTACATACTGATGATGAGTCGTTCATTGACTGTGGTTGTTTACCTTAATTTATTTGTATTGCCTATAGACACAAACTCTACTATCTATGATGTTAAAAGATAATACTTACAGCTAATATATTAGATACAGATACTATTGTTATTTTATGTTGTACTTCTTTTTGTACAGAAACATTGTTCCCATTCGCAGTTTGCTTTACTCGCATGGTATTTTTGCAGTTAATGGCACTATTCTTATTCTGTAAACAAAAAACAAATGTGCACGTCAATATAATAACAATATAATAATATGTGATACTAAGTGACATACTATTTTACATACAGGCAAATCCATAGGCAACTCTTCAAACAATGTAGGAATTGATCCCGGACGTAGTCTTGTTCGGAAGACACTGGGATCTATAAAGTGTTCCTCGAAATGCTTTGAACAGAGTACAGAAGTAGGTTGGGGTTGGAATTGGAGCTGCATATTATCCACCCAGGCTTTCTTTAATTTCTCATCTTTTGGAAACCTGGAACAGAAGTATTAATATCATTTATTTATTTATTATTATTTATGTACACACATACAACACAAAGGACAATACATATATAAAAACAGAGTACATAGGCCATATAATTATTATTATTTGGATAACGCATCAACATTTCAAAGAATCCTTGTAATAAATTACAAGCTCCTCATATTTCTTTGGTAATAAATAATCAATTGATATAAAATTGATACATAGTGGGTACATAATAGCGGTATTACATTAGTATAACTCCAAAACAATTAAATTGTAAAATATAAGTGTGTTTGGTTACACAACTATGTAGTAACTAAAATCCAATTTAATTATATTTAGTAAAAATACTGCTACTACAACACTACATAGGCTCACCCCCTATTACATGGGACTCATAACATAAATAGTGACAAGGTGTTACTTGTGTGCATCTCTGCTTACCCTTTCGGGGATAAAAGGCGTGATGTTATGTTATGTTGTAAAAATACTAAATCCGTCATCTGTCGATACTACAAGTACTTCAGCTGTCAATAATGAAAAATTAAGTTGATTTAATTTGTTTATTATTTTTGTTCGTTGTATTTTAAGTAAACTTATGGGTAAATGGGTTGTTAGTTGATAAGGTTTCGATAAAAACGATTTAACATGATCAAAACACATGATTTATTTCAAAAAACAATCGAAAAATTGTTTTAATCTACAATAAAGTAAATAAAAACTTACCGATGAAAAGTTATTCCAGGTATTTTCTTAGACGTAACACTGTCACATCGGTACGCACTACACTTCACCATTATTTTACTTTTTTTAAGTTTAATTTACGTGTTTTGTTATTGTTATTATTATATTTTTCAAAACGAGTTTGACACATATGTTATCAATATGGCGGCACGGAAAAACGAGCTTCATCGTCTTTTAATCAGTGTTACCAACTCTCAAAAACCCCTAAAATTGCTTTAATTATTTGAAAATACTCCTAAAATATAATATTTAATCAATATACTTAACACATAATACATTTATAACAACAATAAGTAATATGGAGTGCTATTTGTTAATGCACTTAATTTATTAATTATCTTGTATATCAAAAATTATATCATTTTCCTCTGAAGAGGTTGTTTTGTTGTTTGTGCATACGACTTATTACCGTTAGACCGTACAGAAACAACAAGCCCAAAACAACGCTTGAGCAGTCCGTTTTGCACCTAAAACTGATGCAAACAATTTAATTTCATTACGATTTTTGTTTGAAACCCCTAAAAAGTCCCTAAAAAATTCTTGCCTATTAAAATGTCGGAACATTTTAGGGGCAAGAATTTTTTACCCCTAAGTTGGCAACCGTGATAATCATGTCAAAATTTGTCGCCTTTACACATCTGTGGTAAAATAAAAACAAACATGAAGTCAATACCTAGTGTTGGTACCTGTAGTGTAAAGGGCGTTTTCGTAAACCAGTTAAAACGAAAACCGATTTCGGAAACTAGTTTTTGTACTCATAATAACGGTTGCGTTTTGTTGTCCTTAATAACTTAATAAATCGGCAACCAACAAAGATCAGGAATATATATATTTTTTTGTTTTCCACCACATACCGTCTCTTGTTGTTCAAGTAATCGCAAGCGTGAGTACCGAGTAACAGTAGGGTTCGATTCCTAAGTTGGGAAAAGTACTGTGGAGTTATTTCGACAATTGCAAAAATTTTAATTTCACACTGTCTTAGCTGTGCTGGAAGGAAAATAATTGAATTGTCATGGGATGGGTACAATTTTAGGAATATCGTATGTCCACACCTAAATAGCGCCTGTAAAAACCTTATTGCTAACGTGACAACTTGAACACAAACGTCTAACAGCAAGTGTGGGAGAGCCATGCTTCGGCATGAATGGGCTGGCGCGAACGGAGTGATAGTGATACCACGGCCTCACAGTAGACCGACGTGAAACAACGCTTGCGTTGTGTTTCGTGTGAGTGAGGTTACCGGAGGCCCAATTGCCACCCCCCTCCCCATTCCCCAATCTCCCCAATACCCGAATCCTCAAATTCCTAATCCTCAAAAGGCCAGTAAAGCACTTGTAACGCCTCTGGTGTTCCAGGTGTCCATGAGTAACGCCGATTGCTTACCATCAGGTGATCCGTCTGCTCGTTTACCGGCTTATGCCATAAAAAAAATAAAGTATACGAACGCGTCTACAATGGGTCTAGACAACACGTAATGGTCGTGAACGAGTGCGTTCTGCTGGAGCCGGTCGCCTCGCTCATCGTGCTGGTGGGCTGATCCAGTGGAACTATGTAATGTTAGAATTAGATAGGCATATATAGGTAATAAGATTGAGTACTTTGTCTAGTAATATTAGTTGTTAGTGTAGCTGTGTAGCATGGCAGACCTCTATAATCAATATATAATGAGTATAGAAAAAAAGTAAATATATGACAAGTCCTTGATGAACTATAAAACTATTAACGCATTTGGTGCCGCTGTACCTGAATGAATACAGTGAAATAATAATTGAGGAATATAAAATAGACACAAAAATCAATGTTGCATTGATAAACACTGGGAATCATACAATTTTGAATCAATATGACCCAGTCATCGTTCATGTTATTATTTTTACATCTCGAATAAACTGAGTCAGTGCCTTATATGAATTAATTTTAGCGGGATTCTCCCAGACTCAGAAACAGAAATAACTATAGTAGGTATTATTAAATTATATTCCTGCCTGTCTTAATTTTCCCTATTAAAGGTAATCATCCAACCAGTCTCGTTCATACAAACATAATTTTAAGTTTTCTATCGCGATGGACTTTTGGAAGGATTCTTTTTCTATCCTCATGGACTTCCCACGTCGTGGGGAGGTGGGGACGATGGGAGGGCGTGCCGGACGCTTACCGGCTTAAACCACCGCGGTGTTCCTCCACTACCTGTGACCGTGACCCGGGTTGCCCTTACGGACTCACCACACCCGGCAGGCCTCGACCTACCGATATGTTTGCGGTAGGTCTCGCCACGTTCCTGGTCCTGGCGGCACGAGATCAGAGCTGTTATTTTGTACCTACGTGTCAAGGTTTCATTTCGCGTTACTTAATTCGACTTAGAAATTATAGAGATAGCCATCGACGGCAAAACACTAAGGCCGTGTTGCTAGGTAACGCAAATGTCAAACAACAAAGAAAAGTAAAGCATCAGTAATTTTAGACATGGAATGAAAAACTATTAGACGATGATGAAAACGATCATACAATATCTATCAACAATTAGGAAATTTTGGTTTCAAATCTTTTGAGACAAAATGCAGTATTTGTGTGGTTTCAATGCGTTAGATTTGAACTATAATTATTCAAATGGACAAGAAACAATATAATGTAGCTTCAAAATGTATTTTCGTATAAATAAAGCTAGGCTATTGTGTAAATCAGAGCCGCGGACAACCAACCAAACGGTTTATCGGGGCTCCGGCTCGACGTACAGGAGTAGGAACGGGGTGGTTTTTAGTGTAGTTTTGTAGACAAGCGCTAAATGGCATTTGGCTACAGCTGCAGGAGTGACAGAAACTGTTCATGGATCACAAATCTTGATGTACACATCGAGCTTTACATAACCAGTATAAACTGAACGTTAAATGTGCGGAGAGATGATGCAACGCGACACCGGGATAAACTGGTTTTGTAAAGATTGATGTGTGGCCGAGTGTACATGTATAGCATAAATTCCTATTAATATTATTTACCTACGTGACTACATGCCATAAGCTATCTCCAGCAAAAGTAGGTTTGTTTCGGACAATAACAAGGTAACAAAAGAATAAGGTAGACACCTACCAATTTAAAATAATTTACAAATATATTACGGTTATGACTGATGACCCACCAATTTTCCTGTTTTGAAACTGATAATCGAATTTGGTATTTTTGCACCTAAGTATAATTTATTATCTATATATATAAAATTCAAAGGTGATTGACTGACTGACTGACTGACATAGTGATCTATCAACGTACAGCCCAAACCGCTGGACAGATTGGGCTATAATTTGGCATACAGATAGATGTTATGACGTAAGCATTCGCTAAGAAAGGATTTTGATAATTTCCACCCCCAAGGGGGTAAAAAAGGGGATGAAAGTTTGTATGAAACTTTGTCAGTTTTTAACTGATCGGGTTGAAATTTGGCATGCAGATAGATGTTATGACATAAGCATCCGCTGTGAATTATCTATATATATAAAATTCAAAGGTGATTGACTGACTGACTGACTGACATAGTGATCTATCAACGTACAGCCCAAACCGCTGGACAGATTGGGCTATAATTTGGCATACAGATAGATGTTATGACGTAAGCATTCGCTAAGAAAGGATTTTGATAATTTCCACCCCCAAGGGGGTAAAAAAGGGGATGAAAGTTTGTATGAAACTTTGTCAGTTTTTAACTGATCGGGTTGAAATTTGGCATGCAGATAGATGTTATGACATAAGCATCCGCTGTGAATTATCTATATATATAAAATTCAAAGGTGATTGACTGACTGACTGACTGACATAGTGATCTATCAACGTACAGCCCAAACCGCTGGACAGATTGGGCTATAATTTGGCATACAGATAGATGTTATGACGTAAGCATTCGCTAAGAAAGGATTTTGATAATTTCCACCCCCAAGGGGGTAAAAAAGGGGATGAAAGTTTGTATGAAACTTTGTCAGTTTTTAACTGATCGGGTTGAAATTTGGCATGCAGATAGATGTTATGACATAAGCATCCGCTGTGAAAGGATTTTGATAATTTCCACCCCCAAGGGGGTAAAAAAGGGGATGAAATTTTGTATGAGACTTTGTCAGTTTTAAACCGATCGGGTTGTAATTTGGCATGCAGATAGATGTTATGACGTAAGCATTCGATGTGAAAGGATTTTGATAATTTCCACCCCCAATGGGGGTAAAATAGGGGATGAAAGTTTGTATGAGACTTTGTCAGTTTTAAACCGATCGGGTTGTAATTTGGCATGCAGATAGATGTTATGACGTAAGCATCCGATGTGAAAGGATTTTGATAATTTCCACCCCCAATGGGGGTAAAATAGGGGATGAAAGTTTGTATGAGACTTTGTCAGTTTTAAACCGATCGGGTTGAAATTTGGCATGCAGATAGATGTTATAACGTAAGCATCCACTTTGAAAGGATTTTGATAATTTCCACCCCCAAGGGGGTAAAATAGGGGATGAAAGTTTGTATGAGACATTGTCAGTTTTAAATCGATCGGGTTGAAATTTGGCATGCAGATAGATGTTATGACGTAGGCATCCGCTGTGAAAGGATTTTGATAATTTCCACCCCCAAGTGGGTAAAATAGGGGATGAAAGTTTGTATGAGACATTGTCAGTTTTAAATCGATCGGGTTGAAATTTGGCATGCAGATAGATGTTTATGACGTAGGTATCTGCTGTGAAAGGATTTTGATAATTTCCACCCCCAAGTGGGTAAAATAGGGGATGAAAGTTTATATGAGCCTTTGTCAGTTTTAAACCGATCAGGTTGAAATTTGGCATGCAGATAGATGTTATGACGTAAGCATCCGCTTTGAAAGGATTTTGATAATTTCCACCCCCAAGGGAGTAAAATAGGGGATGAAAGTTTGTATGGGACTTTGTCAGTTTTAAATCGATCGGATTGAAATTTGACATGCAGGAAGACGTTATGACGTAGGCATCCCCAAGTAAGGATTTATGATCATTTCCACCTCCAATGTGGTAATGTAGGGGATGAACGTTTGTATGAAGCTTTGTCAGTTTTACACCGATCGGGTTGAAATTCGGCGTGCAGATGGATATTATGACGTAAACGTCCCTTTAGAAAGGTTTTTGAACATACTCACCCCAAGGTGGGTAAAATAGGGGGTGAAAGTTTGTATGATACTTTG